CCCATTAAGACCCTCATATCTTTCAGTTGTTGAGAAATTTGTAAAACCTGGCTTTCTCAATTTTACTATCAAATCTCTCGTCTTTTCGACAGTCCATCTTATAAGAGTCAATACAGAATGATTTTAATGTACATGCACTTATTTATATGGAGAAAATTAAGGCCTGCATTAAAACTTTGCCCCACTAGTAGCTGTAATACCTTAAAAAAATGCCCTGGCCCGTGGTCGAACAAATTTTTCTTGCCCAAAAGCTGATACGACTATAGCTTTAATACAAGGTAAATCTTGGCGAGGAAAAATTGTCAATTTTTCAAAACTTGTTAATTAACTTAAGGTAAACTTGCTCATATATACGGAACTTTAGCCAGCCATGCTCAACAACTCTTCCAATTATGCAAACTTGTTAAGAAAAGCAAACTTCCAATCTTACTCCCATTCTCTATTTCCCTCACCATGCAGAGAATATACTTGACAACGTACTAACTCTACAATAAATACTTGTAAAGGAAAACTTGTTGACCGTACACACGAGAAGGTACACTTGCCAAGGAACCTTGTTTGTCTATGGGGCTTGAAAGTCTCACTTATGTCAGTCAAATTATAATGTTAACTCACCTAGGGTGGGGAAACAGACCACTGCCAAAGTGTTGATGTGTTCTTTGAAGCACGGGGGGTGGTTCACATTTTGGCCTATGTTCTGTTGGTAAATATATTGGTCCATCACCGGCATAGCTTCTTGATCGACCCCAGGGCGTTCTTACATTTTCTTCGCGATAGCTTATCCCATAATAGTGAGGGCCATTGCTATAGAATATGACGAGAAAATGTTAATCAATCATTCAATCAATAATTAAATGGTGAAGGGCGTAAAGTTGCATTTTTCGCAGTTGCCGGCCCTGTTAGTTCGGCTAAAATTGTGATAAATTATCTTTCGAAAACTACATAAATCTTGATACTAGCCACTGGCATAAATCAGCTTATTATGGCCGCTACGCAGGCTATATGTGAACAAGAACTTGTGGTTAATTAGTGCCGCATCGCAACTGGACGTTGTAGCTCAGTGGTCAGAGCACAGCATGTTGTTAAAGAATTTAATCCCGCGAAACGTTTTTGCAAAAATTATTTTGGCTAAGGCCCTGTTTATTACACGAGAACGAGACGAAGTCATCTCGCGCGAACATGCAGCGTGAATTTCGAGAAAAGGAACGAAAGGGTGTGTTATTTTGCTGCTACATGAAAAGCAATGATGATAAAGAGCGATGTCCACGCTCCGTGCTCCGCATTCCGTGCTTCGTACTCCGAAGTCTTATGGCCAGGATGAGGACGCACAGCGTCCGAGGACATTATCTGACATAGTTTCCGACTTTCGACGTGTTAATTCGTGGTGCAGAAGGTTTTCCAACACAAAGTTTTTTCTGTTTCGTTTCCTTTGAACAACGATTTATTTTTTCCGAGTATTCCTCCATCTTTTCAGCTAATTAGTATTCAAGGTGATTATAAAAAAATAATCCAATATTCAATAATACCATGAATCAATTTATTTTGGAATGGAATAAAACTTTATTTATCCACGCTTCTCTCATCATTCGAAGATGTTTTTCATGAGAGGCGTCACACAATATAATTATATACATAAATATCATTCTATTATAAAAATAGTCTAAAAAGTTTGGGTACAGTGGTGCTGTGCATATATGGAACAGCCTATACCTACGGAGGCAAAGTTAACAGAATCCTTAACCAGGTTCAAAAACCTGATAAATGCAACAACTGAGTCAGACATTGATTATTTTTAATATTTAATTTTTAAAGAGTTGTATCCCTTCTAATATATTTATCTTTTAGATTTGGACGAGAGTGGTTGTTTAGTTTAATATTTATAAATCAGGACAGATTTGTTCAGTTTTTGTCTATCGTTCAGATTCAGTAATTAAGTCCGAAGAGCTAACGTCGTAATTGCAGGGGCGTAGGAACCGGGAGACCAAGGCTCCCCAAATTTTCAGAAGACACAAAAATTGCCCTTTTTCCGGTGACAAAGTGCCCTTTGCTTCGTGAAATATGTCTGTGAGTCTTTGTGGTTACTTGAATGTGGGGCAGTTAAACAATGCGAAATGACCAGCCTGCTTTGCGCGCATTTTTACCTGCGAATCGGGCCATTAAGAACCAGAAATTGGGCTGGAACACGACAAACTGCTTTAATTCTCATCCGTGGGTCGGCCTCAATGGCCTTTGATTTATGATTGCATTTATTTTTCCTTCCCTACCTCCCCCCACCCCCTTCTTCCCACTCCGTCGCCAACATTTCCGGGGAAAATATTTTAGGTGCCCTTTTCATTCCAAAAGTGCCCCTCAAAACCGGTGCCCCCCCCCCCAAATTTTGATGCTTCCTACACCCCTGCGTAATTGGCACCTGTCTTAGCTCTTGCTGCTCTATTTTGTAGTTTTTGAATTTTTTCTTTAAGCATAGTTCCACAACTGTCCCATAAGGGTGAACAGTAATCAAAGTATCGTAGGACGAGAGCATCATACAAATTTTGTAAAATTTCATTTGGTACAAACGGTTTAATTCCAATACCTGCGCCGACTTTTTACATATTGAATCTATATGCTTTTCCCAACTCATCTTTTCATCGAGTTCTACTCCCAAACATCGAAATGAAGATTAATATCGTGTGACGGGTTTATTATTTACTTGGTCATTGCCAACTGTGTTTTTGAGGTTATAGGGTGAAACTATAAACATCACTTTTGTCTATTTGTTATGATTAAGTTGTAATTTATTTTGGGAAAGCAATTTGACTATATTTTCTATATTGACTATATTAAATCCTTACTATTAAGTTTTGGTACTAGTTCTGTGAAACTTGCTAATGATGCATATATTTGAGTATCATGGATAGCTTATTTTATAGCTTATTCAACATTACAATTAAACATGCATATATCAAAACATAGATTATTGTTTAGCAAATGGCTAAAAATTGAATCAAAACTACCGAAGTTTAATTTTACATAGTCTTTGGGATGTGTTATTTTGGTTTTAGGCATACATATACATAATTTCTACCATTGAGCCGGCCAGCTTCTATGCGTTTCGATGAATGGATCGTATGTTTAATTAATTACTGCAAAAATCGTTATCGTCAAACGATCGGTTGACAAATAAACAATATTTACCCTCATAGTAACCGTTATCCACATGCAGTAGAACTCCACTAACTCCAGAACACCCAAGCAGGGCCGTACGCAGGATTTTTTACTAGGAGGGCAGTAAAGCCTATATGCCGAATTAATAAAGTCCCAAATATCCAAAGAATAATTAATAATGACATTCTAAAAATCGTAAATATAGTTTTCTCTGGGGGGGGGGTCAGTTGCGCCCTTGCCACCTTCCCCCACCCCGCTGTGTACGGCCCTGCACCCAAGAGAAGCGAAAAATTGTTCAAGTTAGCGGTGTTGGATTTCGTCTACTATGTTAATATAATTATAGTCGTTGTTAAACAGTCCTAACAATAGTGCCTATAAGCTTGATCAGTAATCAGGGACGTATTATAGCTTCGCTATTTCCGCTGGGAAGGGAGGGTTCTTTGGCCGACTAAAAGGGCGTGCCCGAAGTCGTGCCCGAAGTCGTGCCCGAAGTCGTGCCCGACGAACTACCTCCTCCGCAGGCCTTTCAAAAATATATAATTGGTGGGAAACGGAAAGGCCAGTGGACTAATTTTCCAAAATGGCGGGAGCCACAAGCCAAATTATTTACCAGAACAATGTTATTTAACTACTTCTGATATTGACAGCTTTTCGTATCCGCAATATACATAAAGACAGTGGACACTGAACAAACAAGCGTATAATGATTTATAAAGAGAAGCAGATAGTAAATATCAGTTGAGTTTATAATTTGCATATTACAAACACGCAGCGCTTTTATATAACACGTCGTATGTCAGGCATGCGGCCGTTTATCCACGAAATATATTCCATTTATATTTGTCTTTTATACAGTGTAACTATTTAAATGCGTGTGTATATAGTCAGGGACGCCGCAACGATAAAAAGGCAAAGGGGGGCAGACGCACACCAAAGGGCACCTCCATAGATCAAAAGTTCGAAATTTACCTGAAATTTTTTTTTACATTAACTTTTGGGGGGGATCTCCCCTCCCCCCCGTCGCCAAAAAAATTTCGGTCAGTGTACCATTTTAGGGGTCAAATATTTTTTCCGGACATACCAAAATTTTTCGTGACGTAAAAATTTTTTTTCGGACATCAGCAATTTTCTCCATTTATCCAACTTTTTTTCTAGAATCCAAAAATTTTCTAAAATTTTTCTAAATTAACCTCATTCTTTTCCAAATTCACACTTATTTTTGTAAATTAACTTTCTCTGGGCCTATAAATTACCTGAATCTCATGATTTTGCCCGTAAAAGGATCACTGAAAATGTGATTTATCAGGTAGTATTTTACAACTAAAAGGGCACTTCTGCCCCCCTTGCCCCACATAGCAAAAGGCAAGAGGGGCAGCTGACCCTCCTGACCCCCCAGTTCCGGTGTCCCTGTATATAGTCAAGACATCCCATTTGGCCAAATGATAGATTCACGACGTCTATTATCACTGTCGCTTGTGCTTGTAAAACCCTCCATTATTTGAATCTCCTCGTCGCTTTTATCAGCTCAATCAGCCATAACTTCCAAGATATATTTAGAAAGTACTCGCAAAACAGGATTGCTAAAGATTGGCAGACGATGTGCCATATTTCTGAAGACATCAGATCCAACCGAGTAATCGACACAATAAGCCAAGTAATCGACATGTTATTCGGCAGGCTTTAAACCGGTTTTCCACTAGGCGGAATTTTGCGCGCGGAGCGGAATATTTCTTTGTCCTTTCTAATTAGTTCCACCCGAGAAATCACAAGACAAAGCAAAATTCCGCTCCGCGCGCAAAATTCCGCATCCATTATGTACAGCAGCTTCGTTATGTACAGCGGCTGTACAGCAGCTTCGTCTCAGATTTCAAATTTTAACCTGCGAACGGGCATACTCATTACGGGTTGTATGGCCTGCGGAGAAGGTAGCCTGACGAACATTTCCGTCGCTAATTAATATTTCTTTTCCAAAAATTGTTGCCGAACTAAAGTGCCGTAATTTGTACAACTTTTCAGCAATATTTTCGTAAATTTATCAAAATTTTTCTTACAACAGTTACTTTTCAATAAATTATGTAACAAATTTTGCTAAATTACGTATTTTTTGCCCGGCAAGCGTGTCGTCAGTTGTTAAAATTGCCCACAAAACTACGGACAATAATGATTGACGGAATTTTGTTGAGCCTTTTATCACTTCATCGACTTGTATTATACGTTTGTATATAATTATTTATTCCGATTAAGTTGTTGTCTGAGTGGAAATGCAAGCTTTAACGACTTGTCAATGTGCCATGTTGTGGCATTTTGAGGTTTGCCGATTCACGTCTCAAAAATACAGTCGAGTTAATTAACCGGGTACATTTGGCTAAGAGAAAATGAAATTTGTTCTGAGTTAGCGAGGAGTTTGGGTTAATCGAGTTAACCGGAGTAAATTAGTGTAAAAATACGGTCAAATCCTGGGGAAATTCGATTGGAGTTCTAGTCCTGCATGTCAGTGTTTAAAAATACAACTTACCAGGCCGATGAAGTGTTTCCATTCTGAGTATTTTGAAATATATTTGAATTGTACGTTTCCGACGTTTTATCCCAGACATGTCTTTCCTTGTATAGGCCCTTTTGATAAGCTGTCATATGCTCCATGTTGAAAGGCATTTTATAGTCGTTTGAAATCCTCTCTCTTCTGATGCGATGATTAGAACCTCAAATATCACACTGATTTAAACATAATAGGATGACACTAACTTGAGTATTAACAGGATACCAATTCTCTACATGGTCGCTTTCTTTGAATAGTCTTTCAAGTAAATCACTTTATTACAAAGGCTACACTCTGCATGGTTTGGCTTAGAAAGTTGAGATTTGACTGTAAGCTAAAAATTAGCCCACTGACTTTGTGATCCTTTCCTCAGACGAGCTTGTGTGGGAAGCAAACAAATTTCGCCTTGGTTACTGTAAGATGATACATTAATTGTTGTATTAAGCAATCACTATTGGTTTTATTTGGTCATTAGTCGCTGAACCGATTAATTAATGCGGAACAAGGTATATGGAAGGAATAATTAATTTGCAAACATTTTTATTCCTGGTTTTACCGTCCAAATTTCGTATATGGTGATCATAAAAATTAATGACAAATAAATTGTATTTCTTCGATAATTTTTGAGAGCATTTTTGGAACGTAAATTAGGATTCGACCTTTGTGGCTTTGTGACCCCGTTCAGGTGTAGTACGTTCAAGAAACGGCCGTATCTTTAAAGTCTTAAAGCCCGCCGTACGCGAGAGCAACTTGCTAAGCTAACCGCCTCGCGAGGCGGTTATATAGCTCAGCAAGTTGCTCTCGTGTGCGGCGAGCTTTAGGGGTGTATTTACATGAGCGAAGTTTGCCTCGCCCTTCACCTCGGCTGGTTGTACGAAAGCCAGATAGCGTTATCCACCAGATAGTGATTTTTCAATCGTAAAAATGCTTAAAACCTACATATACATAGAGACATGGACGGATAAACCTCATGCACAATAGATAACAAGAAACTTCAGTTATAAATACCAAAGTTTAATCTGGGTTATACCAATCCACGAGATATTTTAGGAAACTTTCCTAGCAATTCTAATGCCGTATTATCAGTCCAAGACAAAACTATACACAGACACACAAGTTTGTCGTCCGTTTCTCGTATTTACGGTAAATACATGCAGACGAACGTGATAATATATATTGGATAATCCGTCCAATTGTTTTCTATCTGTCACGGCTTTTATTATTGCCACAAAATTGCGGTAACTAGATAAAAACGCATGTTTTAATTACCGACAGTATTAAATCTGCAGAGCACGTAATTATTAAGTAATTGACGAATATAATCTTTGAAAAATTTTATCTCTGAATTTGAGGCTAGCGAGAATCTGCCAAACAAATAAGTCAAATATGCTCCACAGCCAAACATTGTCAGATGTATGGCAGTCTTTAATTAAGTAGAGTTTGCTTGAACTATTTACGATTTATACAGTTCCATTAAGCACAGCATGTGGTTTCCACGAAGCACAGCATACGGTTTCCTGTCACTAAGCATTTGATACACAATATGGCGAGTTGTACACAAACTATATTGATTATTGACAATATCAATTCCATTGAGTGAGTGGATTAAAAATGAAGCAAATTCAAAGAGTCTCAGAAATACGCACTTGAATAACATCAAACAACATATCCGTGCTTTACTAAACAGTGGCGGTGGTGCATTGTCATTGATATTGAGAGCCCAAGCAGACGAAAATGTATTAGCGAAGTCTGACTTAAGATCTGACGATATAATCCGTGCAACAGAACAAGCATTTCATCCTGTAATAAAAACTCGTGGTTTGAGCTCGCATCTTAAGGTAATTAGTGCGAAACACAGGTTGAGATTGTTTTAAAAGTGGAAGGGCTCAAGTCGCTGTGCACACTAAATTACAATAAGTTTTTGCCAACCAACAAACAAGTCCTGGCAATTCGCGAGTTGGATACTGCTATTTACTTGATGAATGTTAACCGTTTGGTCGATGTAACAGATTTTGAGAATGCCCGTCCAATTGACCAATTCATTCTTAATTCAGTTCAAAAGCTTAAAATCAATCAAGTCGAAACATAATGACCTTGCTAGTCGGATTATCAAGAATAAGCTTGCGTGGTACGTTTCAGCGTTTGCCAACAACATCGGAGGGCGGATTTATGTTGGAATCGAGGACAAGGTGAATAATGAATTAGTATCTGATACCAGGTGAATAATGAATTAGTATCTGATACCAGAAAAATAGCAAATGGGTTCTGTCGTTATTTTTCAACTATTGGCAGCCGCCTACAACAAAACGTTGTTACAATCACCAACAAAACTTGTAGCTCGCTTAGAAATGATGATAATTTAATGCATACGATAAATCCAACTGGCAAATTCTTCAAATTTTCTAAAGTCAATTGCTCAAAAGTTGCCAAAATACTACAATCTATGAGAATTTCCAAAGCCGCTGGCCCCGACAACTTGCCAGCATCTCTCTTGAAGGATGCGTCTGAAGAACTAGCGCTGCCTCTTTGTATATTGGTCAACATGAGTTTTGAATATGGAACTTTCCCAAATGCAGAAAAATGCGGAAAAGTTATCCCGATCTATAAATCCGAAGATCGAGCATCTTTCGACAATTATCGACCTATATCGGTCCTAAATACGGTTTCAAAAGTCATCGAAAGGATTGCACATCAGCAAATCACAGACCATCTTGAAAGAAACCAATTACTCTGCCCTCCACAATTTGGTTTCAGACGTGGGAAATGTACCCAGCATGCTGTGACATATCTCAACGAACATATTCGTCAAAATATGGATAAAAGTCGATGTACTGGTGTAGTATATCTGGACTTACGAAAAGCATTTGACACGGTTAGTCATGCATGTTTGCTCAATAAGCTGCCGTATTATGGAATAAGAAACATCGAACTTCTTTGGATGAAGGATTATTTACTC